GCTAGTCAAACTCAAGATATCAAGAGTATAAATTTTTCGACACAAAGGTACATCAACTGGTGACCTTAATCTCCCTGGACGTCTAGATGAAAAGGCCCGGGTTAGATTTCCATACTGTGAAAAACTGTTTGGTTCTTTTTAATCTACGTAAAAGTTAGGATCTTCAAATTTAAGACACGATTTGACTTAAGAGCTGTTTACTACGGCCTGCAAAGAAAATGGGCGATTTCATCTTCTAAGTGTCGATGTTAATGTTAATGATGTTAATTTTATTTCACTCGACCAGTTACGATCCCACACAAACTGCGGCGTAACCACTTGAATTTAGAGAAAGAGTATGGGAATATCGAAAAGCGTCATAATGAAGCATGTGATTATGACGAATATTCTCATTTAACTTAAAAAAAATTGCTTTACTTTATGAAGTCGTTCTACTATGTACTCAATAAAGTGCTTCCGTTGCCGAACCCTTTAAATAGCTAAAATTTCGTTGTCTTCAGTCATAGAAATATGACATACCAAGTGAAAACTACGTCAATTCTAGGGTTAAATGAGAGTATTCGCTGCAACACAAAACTGTGACATGAAGCAATATTCCAACGCATTTCTCTCGAAATTCAAATATACAAACGTTCACACTTAATGTGTGGGTACTCTGTGCTTGACCCTGTGATTATGTTGTTATCACGATACATTGCCTGCAGTATAGTGACAATCTTACTTTCAGAGTGTCCTTCTCTAGATCTTTAGGCGTTCGTTGTTCGTCTCTTCAAAGACAAGGCAGCATAAGATGGAGAAGGTTGGTATCTGACTATCGAGTCAGGAATTATTGCTTTACCTTTCTGAATTAGGCAATGTTAAAATTGTTTCGATTTTCGCACTGAATTATACGTCGCTGTTTTAGGCTGAGGGCCAGCTGGCATACATAGTTACTTTTTTTTCAGCACTCTCGAATTGTTGGGCTAATTCCGGCGGTATTTACTTACAGGAAGCAGGAGCCCATTACTGGGCTGGACGGAAAGTTACTGATCAGCACAGAGCAGCAACTCCTATCGCAACTATTGTTGGATAAACTCCAAAAATTACCAGTTGTTTTTGACAATACAGAAGAAGTTAAAAAAAGGAATTCATATTTTTAAGATAGGTTACCTTACCCACCCCTCCCCCCTTCCCCCGAGCTGATTGCTCAGATCGTATATCGTTTCTTACATTGAATTAAGTACGATATGATGCTTAAATATGAGGGATATGTACAAAGATTCCATTTGAACTTAGCTTGTCTAGATTCTATAGATTCGTGTAAATAAAATGTCGATAGGTTGTTCTTAGCCTTCCATTTTCCCTAGGAATATTGTACAAACGAGAGCAGCAGGAGATTTCGCGCACCCGACCGCGCATGGGGGTGGGGTGGTTGAGGAGAAATATACTTTTTTTTTCTCGTTCCGCGCTCAATCTCGCCAGCTCTCTTTACGCTCGTAATTCCTCTTAACTACAAATGAAAAATCAAAATGGTTTTCAAAGACAACATCGAAGCGAAATCATAGCTTGTTTTTCTTAAGAACATAATCCCCTGTCATGTATTTCAGTTGGTAGAAAATTTCGTCATCCTGAGCCGTATGTAAGTAGTTTACGTAAGGTAATCATTCGCTGCCTTTTTTTTTTTAACTTTTTCAACAATATACACTTGCGTTTGATTCTTTCTGAAGCTAGAAATACGGAGAGGGAAAGTGAAAATATGGGCTTTCGTTGGCTAAGGGAATGGGTATTATTCTTTCTCTTATACAAACGTTATTGTTTGGAAAACGGAAACAGCGTAGCTTGAATAGCCACAATTGCCCTTGACATCCTTATAGTTCCAAAATTACCCTAAAATGTCTTAATAAATGAAAGTTGCTTCTCGAGATCGTAAGCTTCATGTTCTATCGGGTCACATACTTGTGAAAAAACATAGGCACGCTATGCATGCAAGAGTTATTTTTGCAGGTTGGGTGGATTACTCGAAACATTGTAAGTGATGTCTAACTTCTTACAAAAGGAAAGAAGAGTATTAACGCGGAAATAACGAAAATGTCGAATTAACTCACACACAGGTGTCTTGTGGCAGATTGTGTGTGATGTGCGAATAACTGTAACCAAAAATAAACTGTATTGGTACCACGGATACCTATTAGTACAAAATGCAGACTGCAGACCGGATACAAAACGTAGACTGCAGACTGCTGAATGGGTACAAAATGCAGACTGAGAATCTAAAGAGTTTTTCGTCTGGTTTGTGATAACAGGTCATCTTACAACTTGACGAGCGTCACGCAATCGCATTTCCGCGATCAGCTTCCACGATTATTTGCACTATTGTGGAATATTCCTAGCCCATTTCTTGATGAAAATCGATCGTAATATAAATTTCAAGCCTTCATGTAGTTTTCTCACTTTGCGCGCAAGTTGGTCGGTGTGATGTCTGTACGGATTTTACCAACGTAATAAGAGTAGATGTAGGTGTAAGTGAGATGTCACTCTTGAATATTTAACACGCGCCACATTCGAGAAACAATTGACAGCTTTGCACGTGGTCCGTATTATCATCTTTTTAAGCGGTATGTGTTTATTTTGTGGACAAAAATGCGGACCGATACCAAAACTGTTCCTTCGACTTGATATATTTTCGAAGTTTGTAGATCATATCTTATTTAACCTACCTCCGTAAATCACTCATTCCAGATAACAAAATCAAATAAACATGCTAACGATGGTATCTGAATTCGTCCTTGGCCAAACACAAACGACTCCACAAGATCACTTTCTCCAGGCATCGAAAACATACACAAAATCGTCCATAGATAATTTTAATCAAAAATTTATCTAGAGATAGCACCGAGCAAACCAATCCAGAAAAATATAATCGGCACACTCAACAAATCATGAATCGTGCAACACAGCTTGCCGTTAAAGAACTGCTCAAATCAAAATGTTTGGTGCAATTCATCAATACCTAAAGCAATATTTGATTCAAAATTTTTCTACTCACTCTCGTCGTGAAGGAACAATAACTATGATCGTGCTACAGTGCACAGAACTCCATTTTCTCTCGAACAACTATCCACCATTTTCACAGCATGAGTAACACGTTTACTATGGGCAATCTGATATCTTTCATCTGTCCAGTAGTATCGCATTTCTCATAAAGCGCGGTAAAATACATGTTAAAAAGAAAGAAAGCCAACATTTCTCACTCTAAAAGATGATTCTTTTTTACGAACCGCTATCTCCGAATCCTCCCTTACTTCGTTGAAATTTGAACACCTCTCAAACCAAAGAACAAAAACGACGTTCTGATTGGTGCGAGATACATACCTTAATGCGACGATCTGATTGGTGCGAGCAACATACCTATTTCTGTACGCCAACATAGATGTTATTTTTGTATATGTGTATATATATATATAAAATAACGAAAAAAAATGTTCCATTCCTCTCTTTTCCATTCCCTGGCGATTTGTTTGAACGCTTAGGACGAGAAATGATTATGTCTCCTGATTAAAAGCTACATATCAAGGCATTCTTTACTAAAACGAAAATTTTCTTGTAACAACAGAACAGCAGCTGTTTTTGAAACATTCTTAGAGGTTATGCACAGGTGGCCAATTCAGAGGGCTATGTAAACAGGGTTGTGACGTCACGCTTTCTGAGAAGTACTTTATAAAAGCAAAAGGGGACTTTTTTTCCTTGTTTACATAGCCACATCCAAACACTTGGAAGGGGGGTTGGAAAAAGCCCTCCTAGGTTTCCAGAGCATAACTCTCTTAAAGGGAAGTTTGAGTGGAAATGTGCCGCCGGGGATTTGAAACCCTGGCCTTGTTTAAGACACACAATTACCATATGTGGTACTGATAGACATCATTAAGCCACGTCTAGGAATCTCACACGATATTTAGAACTTGATTTGGAAAAAATGCTAGCATAAGGAGGGGAATGACAAGGAAGTTCTAGGGTGCCCTCTGAGAGCAATGGGCCTTAAATTTTATGGTTGATAAAACTAAACTCGTATTTCAGGAGCTGAAACCGAACATGGCCTGCGCATCACTCGATGCTCATTCGAGAAATACGGCATCAATGTCGACATGACAATCTTGTAAGTACCCTAGGGTTTTACATGGTATGATTTCTTTATGAAAAATCCTTCCTACAAACGAGTATTGCAAATTGGTACTGCCAACATTCACACCCTATTTACAAATTCCGATCCAGAAAGACACCTTCATCCTTCAAGACTCATACGAGTGAAACTGTTTGCTCTGTTGAAGATTAGGAAAGGACAAGTCTTGTGGGAAAGTAGATTAAACAGCTCACAGGATGGACTATCATCACATCATCATAATGACTTGGATGTACAGATCAGTTATGAATTGTTTCGAGAATTCGAACAAATTTGAATTGATAAGACAAGACGCATATGTCTTGTGCACAAGAACGCGAAAAGATTAGTCGCATGAAATCAATCGCTTACACATTTGCCCTCGTGTATGTACACCGATCTTTCCGTTTCAGGGTTATCAGTCTCAAGCTATTTGATAAAGTGACTGATTTAGTTTTGCCAATACACCCTAATAAGCTGAAGTCGCTCACAAAACGTTGTTCCACGCGAGACACAGCGCATTGTAATACTCTTCACTGCTATACCAGCTATATCTGACGCAAATGTTTGCATTGGCTTCGTCAGGAAATTCCAACCGAGACCGTTTTTAATATGCAACTTAGCTGTACTTAAAATCCACTCATCAGCAAGAATATAACAGTGAATCGTGATATTAAAATAGAATCTTATGAAGGAGCTGTTTTCGTAAAATTTATTGAGAACACGTCTTCACTCTAATTAGGTTGTGATCCTGAGAGACAGGGAGTGAGTTTGGCAGTATAGACTTTCTCATTCTCAAACTTGGCACTCCCACAGAGAGCATAAAAATATTATAAAGATTTATAGATAGACTTATCAGCACACTTACTTGTCACAGATACGTGTCATAAACCTGTTTAGAACACAAAATGAGTCATATCAGCACCCACTGCTTTCGATATACCGACGTTCAAAAAGGTTTGATTGCGCCCGAGTTAGAAACGTCAATGAATAGTAAACGACCACTTTGCACTGATTCCGTCATCATCGAATATAATCTGCCACTGCAATCGTAGAGAATGCGCCGATTTTAAAAAGATATTTGCTGTCTTTGAACATGTTTTATGGCCACAATTAATCTTAAATCAATATTTTGTTGTTATTGTCTCAAGTTGCGGCGACTCAAGTTGACTGATATTTCGTTTCGCCGTTGTTTTCCACAGGGAAGTTAAAGCAGTTACAATAATCAAAACTTACCAACCGTTCAGTGTCCAGAAATATGAACTTATCTAGGATATGACGTGATCTCACCAAGCTAACAAAACCTAGAGTCTGACTGGAGATTAACTGGATATTGAGCAATGCTTTAATGAGGATCAAGTAGTCTCTCGACTGAAGGACCTGTCTAAGTTCCTGAGAGTCCAAAAACAATATAAGATAACATTTGATCGATGTTCTTGTCGTGACTTTTTCCCACAGCTATTTAGAGTTGACACCATAAAAGGCTGTGGAGGAAAATTTGATATGATTATCTCAATCTTAAAGCGTGGGAGAGTCGCAAACAGAAATCTTGACAATATATAATCATAGAAAACTGGTCATCGTCATGTACGGTTTTTTGTTCTGCGCAATCAAACATTTCCAGGCGTATTGTTAGGTAGTTTTAAAAACCTTCGATTATCATAGTATCTAAAAATTGCTAGAATCTAGACAGCCAAAATTGTGAATAATGATGCCCTATTTTTAGCCACAGTTTCATCCAAACTAATGCCTGGTGACTTGCAGAGGCAATTTAAGGAAGTTATTAGAAATTAATATTTTTTTTCCATATGAAACTGTAAAAGAAATGAATAACGGATGAAACGAATTTTGTAAGCTATGCCTTAGTAAAAAAATCGGGGATATTTGGGACTGTCCAGCACGCTCAGCTATCAGTCCATTCAAAAAGCTTTCAGTAAACGTGAGCAAAATCACATGTTCCACAAACATCCGGAAAAAGTAACATCACTTCATTTGTCGCGAGCTGTCATAATAACTGAAGTCGGTGAACTTGAACTTCTCTCTATCAATTTACGCGTGCTATTTTTAACCTTGATTCAAGGAAGTCTTATATCAAGGATAACACATAAGTATTGATGTCGCTGAACCATCGTTTGAAAATACAAGTATCAGCGAGGATACTTCACATAACTACTACATATTTCTCCTTTTTTCCTTTTTAATGCGTTTCAAGAATGAAGAACGAAAACAGAGACAAATGTAAGTTTCACATTAAAAGTGAAGTAGTTGATGTAATGCGGTAAAGACACTGTCACCAGAACCACAAGAGAACTCACTTCGACGTTACTGAAAGGTCCTGCGGAATACTGGAAAAGTGATTGTAAATAATTTAGGTTTGGTTTCCACCGGTAGCTGACCGGTCATTGGTTCATAATTAGTCTGACAAGTTTCAAGATTACCACTGTCTTTTGTTTCATCATTTTCGTTGCATCATCTCGAACTGCAGAGTGAAAATGGCATTCTGTTCAAATGTGATTAATTAAACTGGCAATAGCAGTAGATAGCAATCGGCTAAAAAATTTACGGCGGTATTTTACAGTTTAACTCGAATAACGATCTATTATACGGTAGGCATTTGAAGGGTTCGTGTAATCAGAGTTAACCTCTCCTTCAAGCGTTCTTTCTGATTCTTTAGGTGTTGTTCAAGCCTCAGAGCTTCCTTAAGGAGTTCATCAAGTTTGACTGGACAATATCTTTCGAAAGATTCACCCTCCCTGAAGATAAGATAAAAGTAAATGGTGTAACAAGGTCATTGTTTGAGAGACTGAGTCAGGTCATAACAAATGATTATGTCTAAGAGGTGTTTTTCAGGGTAGACCACACCATTAAAACACACTACACGACCCGAAATATATAAACAAACAGTAAACCTGCCAAACGTGAAACACAATGCCAGCACACACTTGGTGGCAGTGGACTAAAATTCTGCTGTTTGTGTTTAACTATCAAATAAACGTTAGAACGTCACATTAAGTGGTATGTGTTTATATCAGACATTGCTGTCTAGTATGAGGTCTTAAAACAAAAGGATCTTTATAATGACTAGTCTTTTACTACATAGCGAATATGAACATTTCTCATAGAACAAGCTTACGCAAATGGTTGTGCCCACTTCAAGTGTACCATCCTCATCTCTTGGCCAAGTTCTGCGAGCGGAAAGAAAACGACCATTCATACAATAAGCCATTGAATAAAGAACTAATACTGTCCACACGTGACAGTTCAACATTTTATTCATTGCCAATTAGTTTTGAGTGACAGATTGCGGTAAAATTTACTTATATCATAACCTATATTTACTTTAAACAAGGTCTGTTACTTAAATATTGCTTTCTCCCCATCGAAAACCAACATTCCTATATCTCAGTCCTATTGGCCCTATAACCTTTAACTTCCAGAAGTGATCAACATATAACTCCTCCTTATGATATCCATACATTAACTGGCAAACAGGTAATGAGAATACTCAGACTTATCAAGCAGAAGTTGTTGTCTGGATCTAACACCAAATTTTCGTAACTAGTTAAGAAGGAACGTGCAGCGGCTAGAGGAGAGAATTTAATAATCAGATCTTGGGAGTTAAGAGGCAAATCTAAAACTTCCCGAAACCAACCAAATCATGTAAGGCGGTTCCCCAATCTATTAACGGATTATAGAGCGAAGTAAGTTAGAGCACCGTGTACCAAAATGACACACCTCGCAACACGGCTTCAAGTTTTGATTTTCCATCACTGCTACTCGAGTCCTTGCTATCAAGGTGCAAAAAGGGACCTGTAATTAAAAATAATAGTGGCAATGAAAAGTTGTTGGCATCCGAGAAACGAAAAGGCCCAATACTGGTATTTAACCTGTTAACCTCTCAGGCCAGATGTTAGGAACATATCTAAGGCCTTGGGAGGCTTTTTGATGAACGAGGGCCTACTGTAACAGTGCTGAAGGGCAGTGATTGGACTCATTTTGACTTACCTCCGTGCTTTACTTGTGATGCGATATCATCTGACGTGTTGCTCATCCGACTTTGATCTTGATTTTGAGCCACCTACCAATACAGTCAATGAAACGTTGTTAAATGAAAGCTTTCCTAAAACTATTTGCTAAAAGAAAATAAATTATCTTTCAGTCATTGCAGTTCAGTTCATTTGTTATATGTCGAAAACCTTTTGTTTAGGTTTTACGGAAGGAAGGTAACATGCATTCGATGGGAGAAAAATTGGTACTGTGATCAAAATAGATTCAGCTCGCTTACATGAGTTGGAAGAATGACTTTCTGTTTCTTCGGCGGTTCTGGTTGTACAAAGCTTTCCTCGTGGCGCGGCACTCCTTTGTCGTGTTGTGCCGCTCTTTTTCGCGAGTCCGGTGGATTGGAAGAGTCATTTGATGTTGTAAAGTTCATGTTTTCCCCAAATAACTGAAAGTCGTCTTTGCTACCAGAATTCATCGGCAGCTGTTTCAAAGCCATTCGGACGATGGGAACAAAATCTTGATAATCGCCGTTCTTACAAAATCAACAACAAATTTTAGAGAATAAAATCATTAAGGGTATTTTGATAACTTTCAAAAAGGTCAACATCGTCTAAATCAAATCTGCAATTGAAGTTCAAGCATGTGAAGCACGACAAACGCCATAGAAAACTTTGACGAAATTTCTTACTGGCTTACTAGTAATGCACATGTATATCAGTGAAGTACTCCTTTTTCTAAAGCTATGAGGTATAATTGACATTTACTTACCCTGCTAAGATTAGTTTGTCAGCTGGAATTGTTTAAAAACAATCTGCCTTGCTTTCATCCCTGCTCTTCTGCTGATTTTTGTTTTTTCTCGTCTTGTCCTGCACAAGCGCGACGGGATGTGACGTCATCTAACAGTTTTCCCGCCAAATGACCCATTTGCGCGGTTTCTAGTTTCTCTATAATTGCCAACCTTCAGATAAAAAAATATTTATGCCTTGAAACAATTCCGAGGAGATTCTTTATAATGAAACTGCATAGGCCCCTACAGGTACAGGCTGGCACGAAGTGATTGGGAATAACACTTAGTCTTTTCACCCCTGGATCGGGTCCCAATCCATCGTTAGGTTATCCCCCCCCCAGCATTTAACCCTTTACACCTTAATATCTGTATATATATTCTCCATACTGTTCTCTGTACGTTTCCCATGGTGCTGACAAAGAGAATTTGTTTAACAATCAAGAACCTCTCTAGTTGGTGATCAGTTCCTTTATTCCTGTGACCCTCATGTTTGATTCAAGGGCGACATTGTAAGGAGAAATTAGATGCAGGTCACTCTTGGGGGTCCATGGGTTAATCAGGCTTCCGTGCCGCTAGCGTTGATAAAATGTGCTGTACTATCCACTAGATAGAGATTTATCCACTCAGTGGATGGCGTTTTCCAACATTCGAAAAACTGGGGCTATCTTACGATTACAACACAACGACTCGATTCTAGACCTCTCGTTCCTGAGTTCAGCGCGCTAACCATCAGGCCGGAGCAGGTGACAAACTAAAAATACTGATCCGCTGAAGGGAAAATTCCGAAAAAAAAAAGTGCACGACGGGTAGCTCCCAAACATTCAAGCTTTCCCATTTTCTAAGAATATAAAGTCGCTAGAGGAGATAGCCTAACATATACAACAGAGTTGCTGGAAGAGATAGTCAAACATGTACAGAGGTCGTACAAAAGGTGTCTCTAACAGCCTACACTACAATTAAACGAGAATGGACGGAAAAAATTAGTTCAGTAAAGTTCAATTTTATTTAATCGTTCCAAGAGAGATTGATGTAGACACAACTTATTAAGATTCAAATTCCTCTGCATCTTCACCGCAGTCGGTGCAACTCACGCACTCGTGTGCGGAAAACGGACCGACAGAGGAACCCTTAGGACCTAACCATCAATTTCAATGAGGATTTAAAGTAATTTTCATAAACCGGACGTCTTTTAGACAACAGGTATCAGAATGCTGATTTAATATAGTTTTACATCCAAGTCAGGAAATGTAGTGAATGTGAAGAATAACCTGCGACTGCATTAAGATTGTATTGTATTTTGCTTCTCCGCGTTCTTTGATTGGAGGAGAAAAATCATGCCATGTTCCCAACCAATCAAAGTCAAAACTAAAATCAACAGCCACTTGGTCACCCGCGTTTCCCGCGCTTGAACCAGCTACGAGTTTCCACTGGCTCCTCGCAATAATTCATACATTCTGATTGGCTGTCCTGATTATTTTGATTTAACGACACTTAATCGAAATGCCCATCACTAACTTATTACCTGACGTGACGTGAAGAAACATTTGTAAGCTGAACAGTGCATAAATGATATCCCTATATAAATTTAACTGTTACGCCACTTAATATTGTCCCATAGCGGGAACATTACATTACATTACGCAGAATACCAAACTAATAATTCCCTGAGTCATTCTCAAAAAATATAAATAAAAATAATATCGTCCTTTTGTAACTTTTATACATCTAGTGTTACGGGAAACGAGGTTAAGCGGTTTGAATTTCAGAACGTTTTTCATATTTGGCATATATCATTCTTTGGTGGTTATATATCTCTTTCTAATGTTGCGATTGTACTTTGGAAAGGCAAAACATCTTCCGTGATCCTGTAAAATTGCACCAACACTTATCTGAGTACGAGAGAAGCTAAGTTCACGAAGATAAGAATAAAGATTTTGGTCCATATATGTACCACTTTAGCAAGATCGAAGTCTCATCATTTCTGACAAAACAAAAGTTTTGGAAGAGTTCTACAAGAACACCAAAGGCATGTTTTGACTTTCCTTAGAAAAAAACCCACAGAAAAATTGTTTTCCAGTGTCAAACAAATGAGCCCCCCTCCCTCAGGTGTCTAAGAAACATGAAGAATTTCTCAACCCCTCTCCTTAAAACTAATAGCTATTCTCTAGTTTTTCCTTTGGTTATTACTTCAATGTCCCTAAGACTCCTGTCAGATCTCCATTCCAACGTTTTCTATGGGTTATTTAAGAATAAAAATTATAATACAGAAAACATTGGAAAATAACGATCAACGTCAGTAAAAAGATTACTTTACTGCTGTGGTTAAGCACCTGAAACATCTCAAATGAATACAGCTCCCCTTACTTTGTGATATTGTGACATAAAATTATATCTCTGAGGCGAAGGAATCGCCTAAAAATTTCCAGTAAATTAGAAATTCAAATCTATTCATACTAACTATCGAGTATTTTCTTGATCAACAACTAAATTTCTTCAAAATGTGTAAAACCTTCATTAAGCCCTTTGATGGTCCAATCAATCTTTATCCACTCCAGAAATAGGATGGAAATGTCAACCAAAAGTAGACTGCCTCGTATTCTTGAGTTAAAATGAATTGTTATTAAGAATTCTTCAACACAAATCTGGTTTCTAATTACCCACAAAGAAAGAATTATATGTCACATCATCATGCAAAACAATTAATTCACAAATCAATATATATTTTTTGTGTTATCACACAAAGATAAATTCATTCCTTCAAAGTTGACAGAGGTACATTTGTGAGCAGAACGTATTAAGAAGTACTTCTGCAAAAAGAAAAAGTTTTCTCCCCATTGGATTCTTTTCTAATCCACTTTGGAGAAACACCGATAAAACCCTCAAGGCATACACTCTCTTCCTTTTCAGATAAATATGTTGCAAACTAAGGAATATCTACAACCAGAACTAAATTACATTGGAATAAATCCCTCCATACGTAAGTCATTCTTTCCTATTAAAATGAAAAGACTTAAGAGAGAACGTAAAACAAAACTCTCCCACTTCTACATTTTTCCTGACCAAAACAGATCCACTTTCATACAGAAAGATGACTGAAAACATATTCAAAAAGCTCTTCTCATTTTTCAAAATGAAAACTTAAAGGAAAGAATAACTTAATTTTTCTTTTTTTCTTGACCCTTTAACTCCCAAGATCTCAGTAGTAACTATTTTTAGTGTCTGCCATACAATTTGTAAGATGTTAGTTCAGAGAATTTGGGATTGAATGAACAGATAATCCCCTAAATGATATTTTTCGTCATTCTTGTCATTTGTCTGCTCGATGTGGTATTGATATTGTAAGGAGAAATTCTGTCTTGGGAGTTAATAGGGCTCTGTCTCAAAACATGAAAAAATTCGTACTTTCTGGGTCAACAAAATTTGTTATCACTAAAATGATACCTTTCACCTTTTTTCAGTCATAAAAATCATATAAACAAAGATATGAAGAAATTTTTTGGTCAAAACAAACAGCTCACCACCAAATTCACAAAAAGTAGTTGCCTGGTTGCCTGGCCTTTTTAGACCTAACTCAACAGAGTGAAATTCCCAAATTACTAAATTAAATTGATATAATACTTCTTTTTCCAGTCACTGATCATCACTTGGCAAGAGCTTGCAAGATTGCATTCACCTCTTCTGCAACAGCTGTCAAGGCAAATTCAAACTGAGCCTGCAAACAACAAATAAAACAAGGTAACTTTAATTGTTGAGATGACACCACAAGCAGATCTTGCTGAGATAAAGACAATGGATTGTACTCATTGGGTACTTTCAAGTAGAGTTTGCTTGTCAGTGAGAAGAATTACAAGATTTCTGTTAATAATGTTGAATGAAGGGTTGTTAACCACTTACTAAGGGAAAGTGTGCCAAATACATTTGCCACTCATTGTATGAGAGATATCCTTGAAAGTGATAAAAAGTTGTACAACATACTTGTAAGTCTCACACAATCCACTAGGATCTAAGGATTGGACACCCTCTTGGAAAAAGGGGACATTGAGAGGCTTATACAATGAAGCTGTAGTCTTTAAAACATACCTTAGTTTTAACCATGGAAGGGCGTTGGTCACGGAGATGCTCTACAGTGGCTGCAATGTCAATTTCTTTGGCTCCTGAGATTAGCAAACAGAGGCATCTATTTCAGCTTAATACACCCTTGTAAGCTCACTAAACATACATCACTGGTTTTAAGAAAAGACCGATAACTTGTGGAAATTAAAAAACAATATAGAACTTGTTATTGAAAGTTTTCACTTTGTCTGTGACTATGTAAGCCTTTGTGCAAATAATTAGTCAAAATGTCATTTTCAATTTAATTGGCTTGACTCACCAGGCAACCATCAAACAAATACCACTTAATCCTTCCTTAATCAATTAGATGAAAGTGCCAAAAGCTAGTATCACTCACCTCTCATCATCTTGTTCAGCACCATATCAATCAGTATGTAGGTTCCAGTCCTTCCAACTCCTCCACTGCAGTGTACAATGACAGGAGAGGCTCGGCCTCTGAAGCATTTGTTCACTTTCCTGCAGAAGAGATTTGGTTGATTTTAAGTCAAGTTTCATCATCACAGCTCAGATACAGAATGATATGTCCTTGTTTGAGAGGAAACATTCTCTATGTATGCCTACTTTGCAGTTCACACTGTATGGTAGTTTTGCAGAAGCTGCAAAAGCAAAGTCAACATCAACATCACTCTTTGAACAAAAATTACCATCAAGTGCTTCAACAGTTTTCTCCTGATATTTAACTCAAGAGGAATCTTTATGGAAGACTGAAACCTTGCTTTACCCTTTCAACAATTCAACTGTTCTTTAGAATTGTGTTAACTAGCATTGTTTTAAAATAGTTTACCTTCTGAATTCCAGAAGAGGCTTTGGTGTTGAAGGAACATTAAGATCAGGCCAAGTAAGGAAATGAAATTGGGTGACTGTTCTTGTTTCACTAGTCTGTTGATAACAGAAAAGAAATAAAATTATTACTAAAAAACTTCTCCTTTACCAAACATAAATGCACAATTAAAAGAGAAACAAAGGTTTAAGTACAATAAATGAATGTACATTTGTACTTTAGAGCGACTCTGAGCAACTTTTGTGTTAAGTTAATTAAGTAAGTCATTTTCTAAGCAACAAATGAATAAAGGGGATATGTTTGTTGAGAAACTGTGGTGCTGTGTCAGCGGGAGGCATTACAATAAGATTTGGTTTTATCAACTAAGTTTTTGGATCAATATCAATATCAGTATCTAGGCAACTGCCCACCTACCCCTCCCTTAACCCAACATTGACCCTAACTTGATATCAATAGACTGTTGTTGGTTAGGGGAGGGGTAGGTGGGCAGTTACCCAGATACTGATACTGATCCAAGTTTTTTGTGAACTATGTTGAACCATGCTTTGCAATTACATTACAACATGACAGGATCAACAGAATTCTGCTCAAATGCAGCATATTGAATGACAGTGGATCTGAGGAAAATTTTGAGCATTCAAGACCAACCTTTAGGTTTTTCAAGTAGAAACTTCGTACTAAGTAATCTTCACACCATATATGTTCAGAGACAAGGTGAACCTATCATCAAAAGAAAAACAACATCTCTATTGGTAATCCCAATCTTTTTCTTACTGGCTCAAACAGTTTTCATTTCCAATTATGGCCAGTCAACATAATAACCAAACCCTCTAGAAAATCAGCAGTTAGCTGTTGACTCCAAAAGATGACTACCATCTTATCCCTCATAACAGTATCACCACTGAATCAAATATAAAGAAAATAATCACCAACTGATAAGGGTCTTAATCATCAAAAAAATTATCCTTGTCAATGTTGAGGCAAATTTATTAAGAATAGTATGGAAAATATACATTCTGGTGTTAGGATGCAAAAGGTTACTGGTATAAAAAGTTTAGTATTAGTTCTGTGCTTCAACAGGAGATTGGCATATCAGAGATGTACCACCCACCCCCCCCCCTTTTTTTTTCATCAGGTCTCCCTTGGCAGAGAGGAACATACTATGCCTACTGACTGGTCAAGGGTCAAGGGTGAAGGGGAGTGGGGAGGGCTTGGGTGAACTTAGACCTCTCTTTTTAGAGTCCATTGTAAGGACTATAACTGTATCTCTAACAAAAGTCAAAGCCCAAACTGATGTTATCAAGTAGCCTTTGATGATTGCTCACCTCATAAATGCGATAGGTTACAATTGGTTGCTGCTCTTCAGGCCAATATCTGTGACATTGTGGCTGCAATGAAAATAAATATTTGCTTGCTCAGTTTCTTTTTAAATGACTCATTCCACTTGAAAGTTTTTATACATTCTAGAAAGATGTAGGGGTTCCAATAAAAGCCAGTCACTGGCAGTCAACCATTGCTGTGAAACCTCTCACTGCAGTCTGTTTAGCCTGCCAGTTGGCTCTCGAGTTTGGGTTTAAACTTACAGCACAGCTGCCTATCAAACCATCAGCAGCCATGTATGGAAAAAGTTACTGAAACCCCTGAAGATATGTGTTGACCCTTACACTCAAGATCTTGTCAATAACTCTCCTTACTATCTCCCATAAAATTCTTGTGATGTCAGTTCTAGGAATTTGGTATTGGATCAGCTAGCTGGCTGCCTGCCTTGAGTAAGAACCAAACTTATGTGCCATAAACAATCTTTGAAAAACTTGACATTTTCTTGTTGGCAAAAAGATTACGATGTTCACACTATGTTATCGCATATAAAGCTCACACTTCTTCAATATTAAAATAATGTAATTTATTCTTCTGGTTAATTTCAATGACACTCACCAGTCCAAGATCTGAAAGTTTTGTCAGGTTAACAATGACAACAACACCTTGTTCCCACACCATCTGCAAGGCACACAACATGATGTAATGTTTTCTCTAAATATATAGGCTTGTGCAAAAACTGCTTATAATATTGTAAACTAGAAATAGGCTATCAACAAGACTCCAAAAATGGAGTGTTTTATTAAACAACAATACAATCCCCACCACTCTCCTGAAAATTTCAACAAAAACTCAATGATAATAATACAGTAAATCCAACATATTTACCTGCCAGAAGTCTGATACAGTGTGAGCCACAGGTCCCTGGGTTGCAATATAGGTAGGATTCTTGGGATCATGGTCCGTCTGTGGAATCAATCAAATTTATTGTGAATACCTACATTTAAACAAAGGTGCAAATGCCCTTTTTCCC